ACGGAAGGAGACCGCGACCACAAAAAAAGGCCACACTATCTTGGTCTTATACTTTCGATTAATCTAAGGAATTACTTATGCTTGATTGATATATTGAAAGAGATAGAGGGTGTTGAGCCGCCGTGAAAAAGAAGGCGACTCAATTTGTCTGCTCGGTGATGATTCTAATTTCACTCACATTCGCCCGACATGTTAGATTAAGCTCATCAACCAAACCAGACGTACTAAATTACGCAGCCCCAGTCGTGCCTTTTTTTGAGGGGTTAAACGTTGATGACCCTAGAGCGAGAGATTAGGACGTGGTTTCGTAACTTGATTTTCATGCTTATAAGCTCATATCTCATTATCTGAATCATACTTGCTTACAGACTTACGCAGTCTCGGTCAGGGCTTTCGTTGAGGTCATTATGCCTTGATGATGAGAGCCTAACTTTAACCTTTTGATAACTCTGATTTAGGACCGGTATTGCGTAGAGATGCTAAAACACACACGCATACACTCGAGCAAAAGTAGCAGGACAATTATGAAAGATAATTAGCCAAACCACTCTATATCCATCTAGGTTTATAATTTTTGATTTTATTTTGACGTAACTGTGTCTATATTAGAGGTAAGATAAAGCCGAATAGTCTTATTGGCCTAGTGTTGACGAAAGCCTTTTACAAGAATGACACCCAGCTCTGATGATGTGCATCATATGATGGACGAAAGCTCAGAACGTTTCCACCTGAAACGAGGGAGGAAGTCCCGTGGACTGCGTCAACATGAATATCGGCTGCAGTACGAGATTCATCCGTCCTCATCTGGTGAGGTCGACCAACGAATCCCTTCTTCGTGCACTTTTATACGAAATGACGGTCCCCTAACAAGATAATAAGTAGCGTCGCAATATAAAACAAATATCTGCATAATTGAGAATCCCACTGTCTGATTTTGGAGAGGCCTGGCATACATTGAATGCCACATCTGCCATCATATCGAGCCTTGGTGACATTGAGAATGTAGTTCATCCTAGACGAGATAGCCTTGCAAGAAAGAGGGCCAAGTGATATTCAATGTCACCGCATAAGAATACTCCACTATTAGTCCTTAAATCACCTTGGGCGATCTTGGGTGACTGTCTAGGGAACTATTTATATAGGAAATAAGTAACCTCGTTGATTAGACTGACAGATACTCTTTCACTTAATCGATAATCTCACCATGATGAAGGATTTAAGAGATGCCTGGTTTGCCTTAAAAGCCAAATTCGACATGTGTTTGCAAAGTGGAATGGTAAAATCGTGATGACACCAGAAATCCGGTATCGAACTGGTAAAAAGTACCTTAGCCACATTACTCTGTGGCCCAGGCGAATACGTGCTGTGCCTATGTTCCTCCCAGGATGCCAGGCGTCATTGGATGTGGCAATCATGCCTGGGCTAGACTTGATGCATTTCTGTCACTACTGCTTCTGAGACCAGTTTTTTGTCACCTAGTTACTAGATGAGGTAGACTAGTTGGTGACTTAAGGACACGAAATATATTTGGTTGTCAAGGCACGTCTTGGTTTCCACTCGTCGGGCTCACTTGCGTCCCGATTGGCAGTGCATGATGCAGAGCTTCGACGGCTGACCAGGCCAGAAGATATCAGCCCGACTGTTCCAAAAAATTGTTGAGCTTACTTCCAATTAGAGTGAAAGTGTTGGGTAAAAGATTCGAAGCTCCGTTCCACTAGAGGACGACGGCGGATTACTCTTGACCAGCTGTCGATTGGCTTTACTGAAAGATTCATGGTGACGCTATTTCCGAGGTAAACTCCTTCGATTCCGGTGAAAAGCTGCTAAGCTTTCGTCCGTCATATGACGAACATCGTCAGAGCAAGGTATCAGCGTTACGACAAAATTCAAGCTGACGAGTCAAGAAATCTCACCGGTAAATCCCTAAAAAGTGGTATATATAATCTCCATCTGGCCTCTTTTGCAGGCGGCTCAACTCCCTCTCTATCCTTCAGTCAATTAATAAAGCAAAAGTAATGTTTACTTATCTTCTTGCCGGTATTCCTTACAGTCAATGTATTTCCTATTCGGTTTATTTTGATGGCTTTTCTAACTTTATGTTTAGCCGCAAGCACACTGTAATCAGCAAAACGACAAGTTTGAGACCATTCAATCTCGTGTCCCGTTTCTGCCCTGTGCTCAGCAAGCCGGACACGAGATTGAATGGCCTCAAACTTGTCGTTTTGCTGATTACGGTGTGCTTGCGGCTAAACGTAAAATTAGAGAAGCCACAGAAATAAACCGAATAGGAAATACCCTGAATGTAAGGAATACCG